TAGCGAACAAGTCTGTTGGCTCCATTTTTCCGAAAGCATGTGCTCACTTCATGTCTCTGTGTCACATTTAGGTAATTCTTGAAGCATCTCAAACTTTTTCATTATTATTATATGTGTTATGGTGATAGGTGATCAGTGATCTTTGGCGTTACTATTGTAATTGTTTTAGCTTGCAATGAACCACGCCCTTATGGGTCAGTAAAGTTAATAATTGTGTGTTCTGACTGCTTCACTGGCCATTTCCCCATGTCTCTCTTCTTGGGCCTCCCTATTCCCTGATACGTAACAGTATTGAAATGAAGCCAATTAGTAACCATACGATAGCTTTTGAGTATTCAAGTGAAAGGAAGAGCCACATGTCTCTCACTTTAAATCAAAAACTAGAAATGAGCCTTAGTAAGGAAGGCATATTGAAAGCTAAGGTAGGCTTCAAGCTAGGTCTCTTGTGCCAGACAGCCTAATAAATTATTAATGCAAAGGAAAAGTTCTTGAAGGAAATTAAAAGTGCTACTTCCAGTGAACACATGACTAACAAAGCAAAACAGCCTTATTGCTGATATGGAGAAAGTTTGAGTGAACTGGATAGAAGAACAAAATAGCCACAATATTCCCTTAAACCAAAGCCTAATCCAAAGGAAGGCCCTAACTCTCTTTGATTCTGTGAAGGCTGACAGAGGTGAAGAAGCTAAAGGAGAAAAGTTGGAAGCTAGCAGAGATTGGTTAATGAGGTTTAAGGAAAGAAGCCATCTCCATAACATTACAGTGCAAGGTAAAGCAGCAAATCCTGATTATAGGGAAGCATCAAATGCTGATTGTAACAAAGCAGCAAATGCTGATGTTAGAAGCTGCAGCAGGTTATCCAGAAGATCTTGCTAAGATCATTGAAGATGGCTTCACTAAGCAGATTTTCTTTTCTTTTTTTTTTTTTTTTTTTTTTGAGATGGAGTCTCGCTCGCTCTGTAGCCCAGGCTGGAGTGCAATGGCATGATCACAGCTCACTGCAACCACTGCCTCCTGGGTTCAAGTGATTCTCCTGTCTCAGCCTCCCAAGTAGCTGAGATTACAGGCTACTTGGATCTCATGTCCAGCTAATTTTTTGTATTTTTAGTAGAGACAGGGTTTCACCATGTTGGCCAGGCTGGTCTTGAACTCCTGACCTCAGGTGATCCACCCGCCTTGGCCTCCCAAAGTGCTAGGATTACAGACATGAGCCACCGCACTCAGCCAACAGATTTTCAATGTAGATGATACAGCCTTATATTGGGAGAATATGCTATCTAGGACTTTCTTAACTAGAGAGAAGTCAATGCCTGGCTTCAAAGCTTCAAAGGACAGGCTGACTCTCGTGTTCGGGGCTAATACAGCTGGTGACTTTAAGGTGGAGTCCAGTGCTCATTTATCATTTCAAAACTCCTAGAGCCCTTAAGAATTATGCTAAATCTATTCTACCTGTGCTCTATCCACGGAACAACAAAGCCTGATGGCAGCACATCTTTTTACAGCATGGTTTACTCGATATTTTAATTCCACTGTTGAGGCCTACTGCTCAGAAAGAAAGATTCCTTTCAAAATATTGCTGATCATTGATAATGCATCCTGGTTACTAACCCAAGTACTTCAATGGAGACGCACAAGAGTAATGTTGTTTTCATGCCTGCTAACACAATATCCATTCTGCAGCCCATGGATCAAAGAGGAATTTCTACTTTTTTTTTTTTTAAGACAGAGTCTCGCTCTGTTGCCCAGGCTAGAGTGCAGTGGCGTGATCTCAGCTCACTGCAAGCTTCACCTCCCAGGTTCACGCCATTCTCCCGCCTCAGCCTCCTGAGAGGCTGGGACTACAGGCACCTTCCACCACGCCCAGCTAATTTTTTGTATTTTCAGTAGAGACGAAGTTTCACCGTGTTAGCCAGGACAGTCTCGATCTCCTGGCCTTGTGATCTGCCTGCCTCGGCCTCCCAAAGTGCTGGGATTACAGGCGTGAGCCACCACGCCTGGCCAGTAATTTCTACTTTTAAGTCTCATTATTTAAGAAATAAATTTCGAAAGGCTATAGCTGCCATAGATAGTGATTCCTCTGATGGATCTGGGCAAGGAAAATTGAAATCCTGGAAAGGATTCACCCTTCTACATGCCATTAAGAACATTAGTGATTCATGGGAGAGAGTCAAAATATCAACATTAACAGGAGATTGGAGGAAGTTGATTCTAATTCTCATGGATGACTTTCCGGGGTTCAAGACTTTAGTGGAGAAAAGTAACTATAGATGTGGTGGAAATAGCAAGAGAACTAGAATTGGAAGTGGAGCTTGAAGATATGACCAAATTCCAGGAGGCTGAGGCAGGAGAATGGCATGAACCCGGGAGGTGGAGCTTGCAGTGAGCTGAGATCACGCCACTGCACTCCAGTCCGGGCAACAGAGCAAGACTCCGTCTCAAAAAAAAAAAAAAAAAGATATGACCAAATTGTTGCAATCTCATAATGAAACTTGAACGTGTGTAGAGTTGCTTCTTATGGATGAGCAAAGAAAGTGGTTTCCTGAGATGGAAACTACTGCTGAAGATGCTGTGAACATTGTTGAAACTACAAGAAAGGATTGGGAATATTACATAAACATAGTTGATAAAACAGCAAGGTTAGTAGAGAATTGACTCCAATTTTGAAAGAAGTTCTACTGAAGTTTAAATGCTATCAAACAGCACTGCATTCTACAGAGAATCTGCATAAAAATCTTTCACGAGAGTCAGCTGATGTGGCAAACTTCATGGTCATCTTATTTTAAGAAATTGCCAAAGCCACTCCCAACTTTCAGCAACCACCATTGTGATCAGTCAGCAGCCATCAACATCAAGGCAAAACCCTCTACCAGGAAAAGATTACAACTGAAGGCTCAGATGATCATTAAACAGCATGTTTTAGCAATAAAGTATTTTTAAATTGAGGTATGTACATTTTTAAAAATACGCTGTTGTATACTTAATAGACTACAGTGTAAACATAACTCTTATAACCACAGAGAAACCAAAAGACTCACTTTATTATGGCAGTCTGGAACCAAACCCACAATATCTCAGAGGTATGCCTGTACTATGAAGAATGAGGTATAAATTAATGACCATAGCAGCCATAGGGGACAGTGTAATCCATGTTTAAGGAATGGCTTATGACTTAGATGGATGTTGGGATGCTGTGTGTTGGAAAATGCATTCAAGTAGCTTAGCTCAATGCCAGCATAAACTCAGTTAATAATTATTATTATATCCTTTAGTCCTTGAGTGAGGACATAATATTGAATAAATTATTTTCTTTCCAGACCAATACAGGAGATGAGGTGAAGGTCAGATCATAGTGTGTCCTGATGATTATTTAGGAGTCTGTACTTGATTTGGGGGCAGTGAACACACCTGGGAGCTCTTGTGTAGAGTTATTGCAAGATTGGAGCCATGTTTCCAGAAGACAGAGATAGCAGCCATGTTCCATACGTAGGCGGGCTGGAGTGGGAGAGATTGGATTTCCTCAAACACACTAAGAAGCTGTAACTCCAGAATGGAGTGAGGTGTTAAGACTCAGCTAGGTTGGTATCAATGTCGTCACAGAATTTGTGAGGCAACAATGCTTTCAAAAATGGTCAGAGGACCTCATTGCTTCAGCAACCTACAGTTGGCCTCCTGGCATGGTGTATCCATTCTTTTAACGTCAGTAAAGGTACTGGCACCACTGTTTATCAACTGTGTGACCCTGGCTGGGTTGCTTAATGCTCTAAGCTTCAGCATTTCTTCATCTGAAAAGACAGAGATGGGTCTGGGCATGGTGGCTCACACCTGAAATCCTAGCACTTGGAGGCCAAGGCAAGAGGATCCCTTGAGCCCAGGAGTTGGAGACCAGCCTGGGCAACATAGTGAGACTTTGTCCCTACAAAAAATGAAATTAATGGGACGTGGTGGCACACACCTGTACTCCCAGCTTCTTGGGCTGAGGTGGGAGGATTGCCTGAGCCCATGAGGTCAAGGCTGCTTTGAGCCAAGATCGTACCACTATACTCCAGCCTGGGTGACAGAGTGAGACCCTGTCTCTCAAAAAAAAAAAAAAAAAAAAAGATAATTATCATCTATTTCATAGAGTTATTGTGAAGACTAAACAAAAAATGCATCCAAATACCTTAACTCAATGTCAGCATATAACAAACTCTCAGCTAATAAGATTATATCCTTTAGTCCTTGAGTAAGGATATAATATTGAGCAAATTCTTTTCTTTCCAGACCAACACAAGTTTTGCAGTTTAAAAATTCCTTTATCTCTTTAAGGTCACTAGGATCTCATTGGTGTTGCTCTAATATCATTTATAAGTGTGAATGGTATGTCCTTTCAAGCTATCATATCAAAAATTCTCTAGAGGTTTAGGTTTGGTAGTATGGTTTTTGTAAATCTGTTGGAAAAGATGGTAACAAAGGAAGGGGAATGAGGGAGGGAAAATTGGCTTTTGTGATTATTTCCAAATCTTTCTTTGCTCAGAATGAATTTTTTTTCCATTCCCTTGTTATACCAGACATGCTCTAGCAAGTGCCTGTGATATAGCCTACTTAATATAACCAAGGTAGTTTAAACATTAATTGAACTCAATCACCCGAGTACTGGTAGTACCAGGAACTGACTGATGAAGCCAGCTACCCCTGCCTTATGCAGTCACTTCAGTTCAATCAGTATAGAGATTAAGGACCCACATTTGCAACATCTCGGGTTTCCTCTACCTACTAAGTTACTTTACTCTAACATACTTAGAAATAATTTTAATTCTTTATTGTTCTTAGGGAATTCAGTACTCATTAATTCATTAGGGAAAATGGACTAAGGTCACAGATTTTGCAAATGCTCACAAGGAACAGACTATCCAGAAGCAGGCCTGCCATGTGAGATCTTTCCAGATGCCATAACGAAAGGAGACTCTTAAGGAGAGGCAGCTGTCAGCACCTACAGAAGACACAAGCATCTCAGCCCTTACCATTGAAACTTGAGCCTTTAGTCACTTGGAGGAGCTAGTTTTTCCACCAGGCTAGGTGTGGCTTGTTCCCACCACTTGTTGGTGTCCCCTCTGAACACTTCTATTCAAACTGAAGTGAAGAAAAACAATGCCAGTCAGTGCTGCTGACTCGTAGGTCCATAGAGCAAGTCCCTCATGGGCTCTGGCCTGGCTGTGAATCCCTGGTTCCAGGGATACCTGGCAGAGAGTACCGGTCACCAGAGCTCTGGGTTCTGACCTGGCTCTCAGGGCCACCTAACTTTGGGATGTCCAGCCAGTTGCTTCACTCCCCTTCTCTCAGCCTTAAACCTCCTCACTTATAGGGTTTGACTATCACTGTCAAGCAGCAGAACAATTAGAGCAGCTGTTTTCTGTGTGGTCACAGTGGGATGAGAGATGAGCAGAGAGCTAGCAGAGATTTCTTGGGGAAAGCAGATTCATCAGTTTAAAAATACAGTTTGAAAACACCAGCCTAGATGATCTTTGAATCTCCTTGCTCTGAATTCAGTGATTTCAGGCAAACCAGGGATGAACCGCCCAAGGCCACCAACTAGGCCTTGGCCTCTTCTTGATCATGAATCGGGCCTCTTCCATTTGTTGACAACAATGTCTGGTAGAAAGAAATGATGTTCCCCCAAGCCTGAAAAGCAGAATCTTTAAGGAAGAAATTTTCAAAATTATCTGAGAGGGCAAAATGGCAGATGGGTTCTGTTTTTTACCTCTCAATAAGCAAGTGATAAAACTGTAATTCATTCCATTAAAAATCGTTCATTCACTTCTATTAATTCAATAAACTTCAGCTAGAGGCCCCTGCATGCAGAGATATGTGTAGAGAACCATGGAACAGCTAGAGGTTGTGCCCTCAGGTTTTATGGACATGATATGAGGTATATAAGAAATGAGTATAAGCTGGGTGCGGTGGCTCACACCTGTAATCCCAGCACTTTGGGAGGCTGAGGTGGGTGGATCACCTGAGCTCAGGAGTTCAGGACTGGCCTGGACAACATGACAAAACTCCGTCTCTACAAAAAATACCAAAATTTGCCAGGAATGGTGGCATGTGCCTGTAGTCTTAGCTACTTGCTAGGCTGAGGTGGGAAGATCACTTGAGCTCAGGAGGCAGAGGTTGTAGTGAGATACTGCACTCCAACCTAAGCAACAGAGGGAGACCCTGTCTCAAAAAAAAAAAAAAAAAAAAAAAGGTAAAAATAACCATAAAGGATTGAGTGCTGTGAGAAATAGCTAGAAAGCTTTACAGGAAATGGACTGTTTAGAGCAAGAGAAGGAGGAATCAGGGTAGAGTTTAATTGGAAGGGCCTTGAAGGAAAAATTGGGTTTAAGCTTGGGATGAAAAACATTCCAAGCAGAGAAACTTGCACTGGCACAGAGGCAGGAAAATGGAAAACATGTATGAGGAAAAATGAATAGTTTAGTTTGGCTGACACTGAAGTTTGGCAAGAAGAGTAGTTGGAAAGGTCCATTGGGTGGGTGTCTTAAATAAACACTCTTTGTCCATTTCAGTCTTTCCGAGGTTGTACCACCTGATTCCAGATGGCGAAATTACCAGCATCAAGATCAATCGAGTAGATCCCAGTGAAAGCCTCTCCATTAGGCTGGTGGGAGGTAGCGAAACCCCACTGGTCCATATCATTATCCAACACATTTATCGTGATGGGGTGATTGCCAGAGACGGCCGGCTACTTCCAGGAGACATCATTCTAAAGGTAGAGACTATGGCTGTGGGGCTGCAGCAAGGGGCTTCTGAGCAAATAATTGGTAGATGCATAGATGAATGAGCAAAATGGTAAAAAAAAAAATGTGGATAGTCACTTTCTATCATTTTATGACTCTGAGATTTGTCATTTAATTGAGATCTTTGTTTCTCTCTGTCTTGCTCTTTCACTCTCTCCACCCTTTCTCTCTGTACATAAATATTTATCTGTCTATATATCATTTTATATGTCCCCTCTTCTCCCTTCTAGCTTTTTCCATCTTCCTCTTCGTTCCCTTTCTCCACCTCCTCTTTCTTCTTTTATCTCTTTTTGTAAAGGGCATTAATATAAAATAAAATGGGGACAATATTTTCTTAAATTGTTTTTAGAGTAGATTAGTAGAACATTTTGTATTTTATTTAATCACAATCACCTACTCTTTGAAAGTCAATTTCCTATAGTCTTATGGCCCTCCCTGAAAATAAAAATAATCTCTATGCTAGTTTCACCAACCCAGAGAGATTCCAGGGGAGACAGGTGTTGGAATAGAATGCTTTGGGTGTTACTGTCCTCAGAGGCTTGGTTAAAGGGAAGGACTTTAAGGAGGAATTTTCAGAACAGAAAGGATAAAGAGCTGTTTATCAGACAGAAGTCCAGTGTTTGCCAAAAGTGACAAGAAACCCCTCCCTGCTCATATATTTTCTATCTGACACTCAGATAACAGTTCTATCCCATCCCTTCTAGGTTGCTGAGGGACCGGCTCCTGTCACATTATGAGCTGTTTCTTTGGCAAACTGATTGGAATAAGAGGAGAAATAACCTAAAGCAGTTTTCACAGAAATGCTGAAATTCCTGCTGGCCTCTGAGGTGGAGCATAAGACAGGGCCCTCGGGGCAGTCCACAGTACAATCAGTGACACTGTGCATGGCTGCCTCCCAGTTCTAGTGGAAACTATGCTGCCTGGGAGGGTTGCATAATAAAACATTTTGATTCCTGTGGCCTTCAACTGGCACTTACAAGCAAAAGGGCTGCCAGGACTATTTAGCAGGCAACCCTGACTCCCCTGACCTTCTCTGGGCCCAGAGGTGATGGGGGAACCGGGTCCTGCCACCTCAGGTGCTCTCCTCACCTGTGCTTGGACAAGGGTGGTGAGCTTTGCCTTTGCATGAGGGAGCCTCTGGAGCTGCACCAGAGAACAGGTGACTGTATCCTCAAGAAAGGCCTTTGCAAAGCCTGTTCCAAGCCTTCTCTAACAATTGGCTGCAAATACAAGAAATCTTATCAAACTACAGAAATTCAAGAAAGTTATTTCTCCTCCATGGGGCCTCTTTCCTCAAGCACAGAGTGCAGCGCTTGCTGTGAAATTGTTTTCTTCCAACATGGGGGCTACAGCCTCCAGGCTGGGCCTGTGTAGCCAGAGAAATTAAAACCAGAAAGCCCCATGCAGTATCAGCTCTACACATCATTAGTGAGGCACAAATGAGAGGGCCGAGCTTAAGCTTGTTTAAGTAACTTTATAAAGAGATCTAGCCTTTCAATAAAAGAGTCTAGACACTTCCTTTCATATCAGTTTGTTTGAAACTGTGCAAGGATTTCTTCCTTTTGCTGAGAACACGGGCAAAAAAAATCTTGCAGGGGACCACCCTGAGACCTGACACGTTCCCATGCGCACATACACAGTATCATACACACATACGCTCCTTCATGCTCACATACTCACAGACCCTCACTCACACACTAGAACATCTGCATACACACACAGTGGTGAGGACTGGAAGTTGGGGTATAAGTTGACCCAGGGAGAAAAATTCAGTTGGAGATTTTTGGGAAGAAAATGTCAACTCGGCTTGAACAGCTGTTTAATGCAATCATTTGACTGAGGCAAATTGGAAAAATGCTTTTCTTTTGCCTTTTCCTACCTTATCTTCCTTTCCTCTCTTCCTGCCAGCTAAAAAATAATGACAACAGAAATGAAGGCCAGGATTCTGGGAATAAATATGTGGGCTTGGGTAAGAACAAGGTGGAGAAAGACGGTGTCTACTCACAGAGGCCTGGAGAGGTGCTGCAGGCCACGCTTGGAGAGAACAGGGTTAGAAACTCTGTTGGAAGGTGCAGTTATTGGACACAGGATGAGGTGGGAGAGCATAGCAGTCTTTAAAGACAGGATCGTGGCTATTCTGCAGGCCTGGATCTTTCAGGAAGGGTTGTGGCAGGTGGAGCTGACCACATGATTGTTCCACCTGCCCCCAGGTCAACGGGATGGACATCAGCAACGTCCCTCACAACTATGCCGTGCGTCTCCTGCGGCAGCCCTGCCAGGTGCTGTGGCTGACTGTGCTGCGTGAACAGAAGTTCCGCAGCAGGAACAATGGACAGGCCCTGGATGCCTACGGATCCCGGGATGACAGCTTCCATGTGATTCTCAACAAAAGTAGCCCCGAGGAGCAGCTTGGAATAAAACTGGTGCGCAAGGTGGATGAGCCTGGGGTTTTCATCTTCAATGTCCTGGATGGCGGTGTGGCAGATCGACATGGTCAGCTCGAGGAGAACGACCGCGTGTTAGCCATCAACGGACATGACCTTCGATATGGCAGCCCAGAAAGTGCGGCTCATCTGATTCAGGTGAGTCACAGATCATTCCAGGATCCCAGTCAGAAACCCCATACATGAGCAAGAATGCAAATCCCCCTGAACCAGGCACCCTGTCACTACCACATGTGTCATGCAGTGCCTCCCTTTCAAGGAGTCAGGATGGAAAGACCAACATTTAGAAAGCTTCTGCCCAGGTAAGAACATTACTCGGCTGAGCGTGGTGGCCCACGCCTGGAATCCCAGCACTTTGGGAGGCCGAGGCGGGTGGATCACCTGAGGTCAGGAGTTCAAGGCCAGCCTGGCCAACAGGGTGAAACCCCATCTCTACTAAAAATACAAAAAATTAGCCAGGCATGGTGGCAGATTCCTGTAATCCCAGCTATTCAGGGGGCTGAGGCAGGAGAATCGCTTGAAACCAGGAGGCAGAGAGGTTGCAGTAAGCTGAGATCGCACCATTGCACTCCAGCCTGGGCAACAAGAGCGAGACCCATCTCAGAAAAAAAAAAAAAAAAAAGAACATTACACGAGCAAATGATGGGCTTCAAGGCCATGGACATTCCCTAGGTGTTGTGTTGTCAGCCATCCAGTCTGACTGCAGATAAACACGTTGGGTTGTATGCTACAATCTCACAGAATTAGGATCACTCAGGGTCAGCAGGGTCGTGTCATCCCTGTACCCAGTATGTCCAGTGTAGACCCAGGGGTCAGTTACATACATTCAGGACACATCTAAGACATCTAGTTGTATTTACTCCCGTAAGAAGCTGTGCCATGTGGGACGTAGTAGCTCAGCCAGGTGTGGAGGCTCACACCTGTAATCCCAACAGTTTGGGAAGCCAAAGCAGGAAGGTGACTTGAGCTCAGGAGTTTGAGACCAGCCTGGACAGCATAGTGAGATCTCGTCTTTACAAAATTCAAGAAATTAGTCAGGCATCATGACATGCACCTGTAGTCCCAGCTACTCGAGAGGCCAAGGCGAGTGGATCACCTGAGGTCAAGAATTCAAGGTCAGCCTG